TCTGTAAATCCACTCTCTGACAGCAGGTGGCGCTTATGGAAAAGCTGAATTAGAGCTGTTTCCCATAACCTCCATGGACAAAGGAGTATTGCGATTAAGAACACTTCCTTTAGGTATTACATGGAGCTAAGATGAAAAAAAATGCCATCGAATCATTTCTGAAGACAGTCAGAACCTTCAGAGGTACATTCATATAATTAATTCATTAATATATTCATTTGTATAACTCCCTTAGCACTCCGCCCTGTTTTCACTCAAAACAAAACTACTCTGCGTGCTGTGCGCACGTGAGACTGTTACTTAAAACTATGCTTTATGCTGGACAGTATTTATTTATCGTGAGTTGTTCAAATCGCGGTAATCTAATACGGTTTTAATGATAATTAAAAGATGAAATGGTAATACTAACCGTGGGTAATTTTATCATGATTTATCGTCAAACCGGTAATCGTTACATCCATATATCAGCTGTATGAAAATGGGTAAAATTAAAGGGATAGTTCACCCAAAATTGAAAATTCTGTCATTAATTACTCACCCTCATATACAGTAGTTCCAAACCCATAAGACCTTCGTTCATCTTCAGAACACACATTAAGATATTTTTGATGAAATCTGAGCTCTCTGACCCTCCATAGACAGCAAGGGCACTACCACGATCATGGCACAGAAACGTAGCAAGGACTTCAGTAAAATAGTCCATGTGACATCAGTGGTTCAACCGTAACTTTACAAAGCTACAAGAATACTTTCTGTGAGCAAAGAAAACAAAAATAACGACTTTATTCAACAATTCTTCTCCTCCTCATCCCATCTGCCGCTGCCATTGTGGAGAGTATCACGACGCATATGCGTGCTTTCCTCTGCATGTAAACAACGTATGCGCATGCTGCTGCTTACGTTGAACACAAGCAGAGGACAGTATGCGAATGCGTCGTCATCAGTGACTCTTAATATTTTGGCTTTCAATGCCATTTATGTTTGCCTTTCTAAATTTTACTATTTTATTTTTAATTGATGAAAGAAACAAAGTGAATCTTCTTCATGCAAACTTTTTCATGCTTGCCAGACCAAATACAAATTCTGTTAATATTAATGCAATATTTATGATATTGGTTCACTTTATATCATCAACAAAATACTGTAAAAAGTCAATGTATCATCCAATATGCTTTATTTTGTTAGAATGATGCAAACTGCATTTCAGCCTGGCCTACAGAATCAGCTATAAACTTAATTTCCTCTGCATTCCGAATCTATCGTCAAACACATGCACACACTCACGTGCACACACAAACCCTAGAGAATGGCCCACATTGTGCCGATTTATTGCTTGTGGCTGAGGCCAATTTGATGCTCTTCCTGCAGCATTTGATGGACCATTAACCTGGTTAGTGCTTTAGAGAGTGAGCGGCAGGCCTGAGTCAACACTTCCTGCTTCAGCAGTCAGAGCAGACATTTCAGTATTATGTGTAAAAGAGAAAATAAGTTGGTAAATTTCAGAGGGGTGAAGCAACAGGCCTCACTCAAATTTAGTGTCGATGACAAAATATGTTTCCTTACTCTAACTTGATTCCTGAACTGCTTAGCTCCATGAACTGCTTAGCTCCATGAACAGCGAGTTACCTTTTGAGAAGCATCACAACCTCAGCTTGACATTTAGGCTGTTGAACAAAAGATGAAAGGCTGTGGAAATTGTCTAGGTCAAGTGCTTTGAAATGTTAGTTCCTGATTTATTCCCTTCAGGTTCAATAAGACATTTTGCAAGTTAGAGACTCTAAAGCGCTTGAGGGAAAATGTGAGCTGAATGACCAATGAACAAAGCAAAGCCCTTGTCCGGCTGCATGTGTATAGATGTGTGCTTGTGTGTGGGACCTGATCCTGGACTGGAAGCCTCATTAATCTGTCATTGCGTGTGAGGAAGGTTGATGACATACCTTGCTCATCCATGACTTGCGCTTGCACATGGTTTTTCTCCTCTTCACCGCCTCCCACAGCCGTCTTTGCCCTGTCAAAAAAAGCAAATGAGAGAATTATTATTACTTAATGAATTTTGCCGGTTAAAAACAAGTTCAGCTTTATCAACAGTGACATCTGGAGCAAACCAATGTACCTGAATAAAAATAAATAAATAAAATAAACCCTGTTAAGTACTAGTGCAATAAAAATGCTTACTGCCTGTGTCAAAAGAAAGCTGCAAGGCATGTTAAACCTTGTAACTCTCATGATATGTGCAAGGACACCAGAAAAGTACTCTTTTTATAGAGGAAAAACCCAACCTTAGGAATTACGTCAGTAAATGTTTTTTAGACTCATTTGTAAGTCGCTTTGGATAAAAGCGTCTGCTAAATGACTAAATGTAAATGTAGACATTTATAAATTACTGTCATCTAACCTAAATGTTTCATCACTCAATGCATTTGTGTTTTACAATTTATAATTTTGTGATTTGTGCTATGGGGTGATTTTGTTGTGCAATAGCTTACACACCCCACACAAGAAACTTCAAACTCCGAATTGAATTGTTTTTAATTAAAAAAAGACAAGCAAACAGTCAGTAATAAAATAACAAATAAAGAAATGACGAGCAACAGCAAAAATAAATACAACAAGATACAAATGAAATTAACAGTGCTTTAACCTTTTCAGTTTGGTCTAAGAGTAATAATCGGGTATACTGTAGAAATACTACAGAAATTGAATAATCTATTCACCTGTAAAATAACACTTGATAGTCTTCACTGTATAAATAAACAAATAACACAGACAGGTTTATTTATACTGCTGTCTCTTTAAGACCTTGGAAGATGTGCAGATCTAATGTTCATATACACATGCGTTTTGTCTGTCAGCTGTTTACATTCACTTTATATATAACTGACTGTGTTTACGTGAATACTCACTGAGATGGGTATTTTGACAATTTGTCTATGTGCTGTGTCTATGTACTCTATTATGTTCTCTCTCGTGCTTTCTTGTGCTTGAATGGTTTAAAGTCGCTTGAATGTTTAAATTGGTAAGACTTAAAAAACGTGCAAATGATACATTACTCCATTTGTCCCAAGCGTCTTACACGCTAAATAAAAAAACCTGCGAGAATGAGTAGAAACAATGCACAATACCTGCAATCCCATGCTGGAATTCAAGCCCTGGTTATTAGGGCCCTATGATTTCCGCAATGAGGAAAATGTGGACAGAATCGTGGAATCCAGCCATAAAAATAGAATTTACTGTATAACGTGGAATGTCACGGAATTTGCCAAATTTTGGATGAATAAATCAAAAGTAGATCAGAATCAGAATTAGCAACCTGCAGTAGAACACGTTCAGGTCTTCAGCCAGTTGTTGATTGGCCTCAGTGCTGGGGGATGGGGTCTTGTAGCGGGTGATGGCTTTCAGCCCTTTCCACACTGATGTAGAGTCATTACTTGAAAGCTGTTTGTTTAGCTTTTCAGAGTACTTTAACTTTGCCACTCTAATCTCCCTATTCAGTATGTATTTGGCCTGTTTGTACAAGTCTTTGTCCCCACTCCTGTAGACGTCCTCTTTGACCTGGCGAAGCTGTTTGAGTTTTGCACTGAACTAAGGTTTGTCATTGTTAAATGTTAAAAAAGTCCTGGTGGGAACACACATGTCCTCACAGAAACTGATGTAGGACGTCACGTTGTCAGTAAGCTCGTCCAGATCAGTAGCTGCAGCCTCAAAAACACTCCAATCAGTAAGTTTGAAGCAGGCTTGTAAATTCCGCTCTGCTTCAACAGTCCATCTCTTTACAGTTCTTACTACAGGCTTAGCAGATTTGAGTTTCTGCCTGTAGGCTGGTAGAATATGAACCAAACAGTGATCAGAGAGTCCCAGAGTCCCGTTGTCCGGGATGGCTCCGTTCAGCCAGGTTTCCGTGAAGCAGAGCGCAGCGGAGTTTAAAAAGTCCTTGTTTGTGCGGGTGAGGAGTCGTAGTTCGTCTGATTTATTTGCTAGGGAGCGGAGATTCGCCAGATGAATGCTCGGCAGCGGAGTCCTAAAACCGCGCTGTCGGAATTTCACGAGCGCGCCGGCGCGTTTCCCTCGCTTGCGTCGCCTGGAGCGCTTGTATAGGAACGCAGCTCCTCCGACTAAAATGTCCAGTAAAACATCTGAATGCTCAAATGTCGGCAGAAAGTTATTTGGTGTGCTATTTCTGATGTCCAGGAGTTCGTTCCTAGTAAAGCTGATCGGGAAAAAATTGCTTAAGACAGGACAAACAAACAAAAAAAGTACAAGTACCAAGTAGCGACAAACCATGGCTGCCATCCGCGGCGCCATCTTGGATCTAAAATCAGTACACTTAAATCAAAACAAGATATGGACTAGTATCTGTGTATATCTGTGTATATGTAGCCGCGAAAATACAATTTAAATACAACTCATGGATGTTCTGTGGTTTTGCTTACTACACATAATGAAGCATGAATGATGCTCGCAGTGTTTTCAGCCTCTGCTGCCAATATATGAGTGCATGAACACGAACATAATTTCTAAAACTGCTCTGAGAGTCACTTCATGAGCATTTTACCATTTCTTTTGAGAAAAACTATTGTCATATATAAACAGAAAAACTTAAAGGTCTTCAAAACAACCAGTCAAAATAAAAGTTTGGTTTAACTTGAAGAAACTGTGATAGAAATATATTACTTAGCCTAATGTAATGATAGGACTATAATAAAATGATTATTAAAACATTATTTTTAAGGAATATTTACCAGATAAATTATTAACCAGAATTTAATTACCAAAAACATATAAATACTCAACACAGTATTTCTGAAAGAACGAAAGAAAGAAAATAAACTTAGTTTTTTATAAAATGAATTATTTAACGATGCTTTTGGTTATTTAATTCATCAGAAAGAAACAAACAGTGTGAGAATGAAAAAGACTGAAGGAAAGAAAGAAGAGAGTATAAAATAGGACACGTGTGCCAAAAAGAGAGAGAAAAGCGAGAGTGATAAAAGAGCCATGTAATGAGCATGAGTTGGGCAATAATCAGGCTGGCTTAAAGGAAATTACATTAGCACAGTTTACACTTCAGGCATCACACAAAGGCTTAATACTGAGTGTGGAATGACACACTGATTAGATTTGGCAGACACTCAAAGCTTGTGCTGGGTTTACCAGTGAAAAAAAAATCCCTGCTTTTCAATAAGTTTCATCAGTCACAGACTGCCTTCTGTTGTATTAAAAAGATGCATCTAAAACTGTTACTTTTTCAGATGCATCTTTGTCACCTTTGTCCATTAGGCCTATAACTGAGAAAATATTAATTCTTGGGTTGAACCAATTTAGATCTGGTGACCTTTGGATTAAGATGATGACATTAGTAGACACAAACAGAAACGCTATGTCATTCCTTGATGAAGCTTCACAAAGCTGGCTTTTGAAGAACAATGACCTGCCACTTATGTAAACAGCATCTGATTTGGTATTGAGACCTGCAAAAGCTCTTACTGACATCGCCCAACATCCACAAACAATCATCGACAAAGCGCTGACTGGAGTGGGCAATGACTTTCTCTCTATGCTCAAGAACTGAAGAATGCATTGCAACAAGCTCTGTGAAAAAATACATCTACAAGTCAAGAGAAATATATACTTCTAAAATATACTTACATTTTGTTGTCATTTGTTGTACATTAGTGTTGTCATGCCTACAAAATCTAGTCAGTATCAATACCAGTCAAATTGGACAATTCTTAGTACCAATTTTGATACTACTGAAAAAATAAATTACAGATTAGAGGTGACATTAATTAGAACTGAATAAATAATGCTGTGAGATTAATGCCAAATGAAAACCTATTAATGGAAAATGGAAAATGTCAAATTAATTTTTTTTTTAATTAAATGATGCTCTAAATATGAAACGCAAACCGCCAGTAGTTGATAGGGATGGGCGATATCTTATCATTTGCGATATACCGGTAAAAATTCTCCCCACGATAAGAATTAGTCTTCCTGCGATAATAACGTTAAAGTGTAGTTGTTGACATTTCTGTGTGTGACAGTGTGGAGCGACATCTCGTAAGGCGGACATGAAATTGAGGAGGAGTTTATCGCTAAATGAGGAGCTCCTTCTACAATCTGGAACAGGTTTGGTCAGGGTCACAAAAAATCAGTCTGAATAAATGTACTACAGCAGCATGTGTGCGATACAGTTTTGCATGTTTATGAGCCTGTTTACAAACCTGTTGTCCAACAAAGATATCATTTATTGACAAGCTTTTTCTCCAAATTAACACAGTCGAGTGTTTGAAATAACTGTGGAATGACACACTGATTAGATTTGGCAGACACTCAAAGCTTGTGCTGGGTTTACCAGTGAAAAAAAAATCCCTGCTTTTCAATAAGTTTCATCAGTCACAGACTGCCTTCTGTTGTATTAAAAAGATGCATCTAAAACTGTTACTTTTTCAGATGCATCTTTGTCACCTTTGTCCATTAGGCCTATAACTGAGAAAATATTAATTCTTGGGTTGAACCAATTTAGATCTGGTGACCTTTGGATTAAGATGATGACATTAGTAGACACAAACAGAAACGCTATGTCATTCCTTGATGAAGCTTCACAAAGCTGGCTTTTGAAGAACAATGACCTGCCACTTATGTAAACAGCATCTGATTTGGTATTGAGACCTGCAAAAGCTCTTACTGACATCGCCCAACATCCACAAACAATCATCGACAAAGCGCTGACTGGAGTGGGCAATGACTTTCTCTCTATGCTCAAGAACTGAAGAATGCATTGCAACAAGCTCTGTGAAAAAATACATCTACAAGTCAAGAGAAATATATACTTCTAAAATATACTTACATTTTGTTGTCATTTGTTGTACATTAGTGTTGTCATGCCTACAAAATCTAGTCAGTATCAATACCAGTCAAATTTGACAATTCTTAGTACCAATTTTGATACTACTGAAAAAATAAATTACAGATTAGAGGTGACATTAATTAGAACTGAATAAATAATGCTGTGAGATTAATGCCAAATGAAAACCTATTAATGGAAAATGGAAAATGTCAAATTAATTTTTTTTTAAATTAAATGATGCTCTAAATATGAAACGCAAACCGCCAGTAGTTGATAGGGATGGGCGATATCTTATCATTTGCGATATACCGGTAAAAATTCTCCCCACGATAAGAATTAGTCTTCCTGCGATAATAACGTTAAAGTGTAGTTGTTGACATTTCTGTGTGTGACAGTGTGGAGCGACATCTCGTAAGGCGGACATGAAATTGAGGAGGAGTTTATCGCTAAATGAGGAGCTCCTTCTACAATCTGGAACAGGTTTGGTCAGGGTCACAAAAAATCAGTCTGAATAAATGTACTACAGCAGCATGTGTGCGATACAGTTTTGCATGTTTATGAGCCTGTTTACAAACCTGTTGTCCAACAAAGATATCATTTATTGACAAGCTTTTTCTCCAAATTAACACAGTCGAGTGTTTGAAATAACTTCTTTTTGTGACCAGATGTGGTTTCATATTACAGAATGATAGTATTATATACAGTGATAAAGGCTAATGTCGATTAGCATTGCATTATAAATATACTTTCCTTATAATAAATACCCAAGATTGCTTGAAGAACACAGGTAAACCATATATTTTGTGCAATCGTATGTTTATTGTCAAGCTTCATCAGTTAAAATTTCTCCGTTGTGTTTTATTCAGCAATAACTGGATACCTTTGTCCATATTAGAGATTTCATGGAGCGTCATCAGTAGTATTACTTCTGCTATGGATATGTGGAGTTTCTGCGCAAGGGCGCCCACCAGTTTCCAGTATGAATTAAACAGTCATTACATTACGTGTGTGCTCACAACACCCTATTTTGGGTAAAAATAGGAAAGATAACACTTTTCTGTAAACAAGAAATTGCAATAAATACCATAAATATCGTGATATATATTTTTAAGCCCATATCGCCCATCCCTAGTAGGTGGTGGCCAGTCACTGCCTTATTAAAGCTACTAAACATATTCAGACATCACTGATTTGTTTTCTTTGTCATCTCAATGTTGCTGTGGCAGAAAATATTTTGCATTTACACTGACCTAAAAGGGACCTATTATGCAAAAATCACTTTTATAAGGTGTTTGAACAGTTGTGTGGCCGCAGTGTGTGAAAACAACCAGCCTATAATGGTAAAAATCCACCCACTCATTTTTTTGTAATCCCAATAAATTATAAACAGTGTCTCCAAACGAGCGGTTTCAGATTCTCCTTAAGTACACGTCATCTTAGGGAAAAAAAAGTTACACCCATTTGTAACTGTAACAGATCGGCCAGGCTCCACCACCACCCAATCAGCCCGGCTGAAATTAATTATGACATCGGCAACAGAGAACTACTTGCCATCAAGCTGGCCTTAGAGGAGTGGAGGCATTGGCTGGAGGGGGCAGCCCATCCATTCACCGTACTGACCGACCATAAAAATCTCCAGTATCTTCGTGAGGCTAAACGTCTAAATCCCCGCCAAGCACGATGGGCATTATTCTTTACCAGGTTCAACTTTACCATTACTTACCGCCCTGGTCCCAGAAACGTCAAGGCAGACGCCTTGTCATGTATTCACAGTCATGTGGAAGGCCCAGAAGAACCGGAAAGTATCATCCCACCAAAGATGATCGTCAGTCCCATTGAATGGAATTCCCCTTCAGTGGCCTCAAACACGGCTCCCAACAATCCGCCGGGCTGTCCTCCAGGATGCCAGTACGAACCACGAACACAACGCACTCCACTGATTCACTCTGCTCACTCTTCTCGGGGCACTGGCCACCCAGGGGCCAACAACACCCTCTCGCTGCTACGAGATCGCTTCTGGT